ATTTCTTGGTTGGCTATGTGGCATAGTAGAAAGGAGTTTACCAAAATCTAGGTATTGAGCGTTGGTTAAACTACACCATCACACCACAAGTACATCATGTCCTGGTCACGTGACCTCTCCTATCCTTTTTCCTCACAGGTGCTGTAAAAGCAAAACGACCGCACTTATTTTAGCCACACAAAGTGTTCGCCAGGGCCATCAATCTCTTGCAGCAAATAATGCACGCTGCAACCATCTATTAATGAGTAATGATACAACGCTGCAGACCCCGGTCATTTGGTGACTCATGGAAAGTATAGATGGCGCTGTAGCTGGACTGGATTCCGTAATTTCTTTTGGATTTAGCCCTACTTCATTTTTAAGTTTAACACAGGGATCACTTTAGTTCCATTTCCCAAATTCAGGAGTAGCTTATGTATGACATAACAAAGCAGCTATATTTGCCTACTTCTTTATGATATTTCAGGCACGGCTTACTTATGTTTTCAGCTGCTGCTGTAGCCTATTTTATCCAGATTGTAAACCTAAAATTACGAAATTTCGAAAATTACGAATTTGTTTTTTTTTTTCAGTAATATCGAAAAGAAACTGAAATACGTAAAAGTCCGTTTAAATACCGACCACGTTTTCAGTTCATCGTGTAAAGCTGTCCATTTACACAAACTACGTTAATACTGGTGACAAGTCTCACCAGCGTTCAGTACTGTGGTTTGTTGTCCGTTCAAGGGTTGGGTCGCGGAATCGCTTAGTCACACAGTCTGCGGCGTTAATTCCTGTGCTAACATTGCACTGGGGTGTATTCTTGTAGCGCTCGATATAACGGCTGAATATTATTGAAATGTCATTTTGATAAAAATAAACGACTTATTTACTATTAATATGAAGCTTTTGTGTAATATACAGCATTTTCAGAAGATTTACCTAGGATTTTCGGGAAAAATATCTAGCATAGTTCATATTCAGCCTTGATTTCATGAGGAATATTCGAATTTCTCATGAAGCTTTTTATTAAATCATAATCTCTAGTCATGAATATTAAATTTCGCGCGTGACAATAACTACATTTTTAGTTTTCAGACTTTTCTTTCTTCATTGCATGAATACAATCATGCAATTTCAAAATGCGATGATTGAGATTTATTTTCAATTCCTAGCCATTATTAGACACAATGCTATTTAACCGGCTCTAATAGCTCTTAAAGTGCTTTAGTCTGACCTCCTTAGCACGTATCTAAATGAATACAGCATCAAATTTCAATCGGCACGGTTCAGCGCACACTTGTATTAGCAGGTTGACAGATAAGGCCCGCCGCTCACGGGTATTAACAGGTTGACAGATAAAGCCCGCCGCTCACGGGGCAGTAGTCGACTGGGTGCGCGCGCGCTTGTCACGTGTCACTGTTATTTATCTTGAACTTGACAATGGGCGGGAATAAAAAGAAAGGATGACCAGACCACTGTCAAGAAGGTTTCAATCAATTAGTTTTAATTTAATTTTAAGTTATCTTACAGCCACAGTACTAAAATTATACAAGTTAAAGTTATTTTGACTTATGTATAGGATGACAGCACGTCAAGGTAAATAGGCTATGGAAGTGTGGAATCTCATATCGCTGTTATAGATGCAACTTTGTTACAAAAATAGTCTGTACACGAGTTGCGTTCGTTTCAACCAACCGTCCAATGCTGGACAAAAGAAAAAGGCCTCCCCCAATGATTTCCACAACGACTCAGGTGCGTCTCACAACCTTCACCAGCACTAGTACTAGTAGTCCGCAAATCGATAGGCCTTAATTTCGAACTCCTCCTATGTTCTTCTGATTAATTTCGTAGCGGGTCCAAAGACAGTTTAACTTTTTCCCGGGACAAACTTGACCTTCATTGGTTGGGTTTTTGTGGCGGTCAAGCTGTAGATCCTGGCTACACAGGAGTTGCAGTGGTGGGAACGAGAGATGGAATAGTCCCGTATACTTAGTCCGCAAATCGGACTCTAGCTTTTTCCAAATGACTCCTATTAAAAGCTACATAAGATGCCACAGTTTACATTTATTTTGCCGTCATCTGTATTCAGTATAGTGTTTGATTTTGCCGATACATGATATTATAGAATTATCTTTGCGATATGACGTCACTTTAGTATTTTGACCACAGGATATGACGATTATTATATCTGACCACAAACATTATCGAATTCAGGTCAATCAAAATGGCAATGGAAAAATCAACTTAAATGCGGATGACTGTCGAATTTTTTATTTACTGGTTTCATCCTCTTTTCATAAAAGTAAGTAAAACGGTTATTTTGTCTGTAGACTGAGAAATATCTAGTTCTACGGCAAATATTTAATTAAATTGACCGTTGGTAAGACCAGTTCTTACTCAATATACAAACAGTTAATAATATTCATTCAAAATGTAATGTATGTTTATATCCGTTGACTAGTACCCATAGTACAAGCTTTGCTTAGTTTGGAACTAGCGGCGCAGTGTAAAATGTCCAAGGATATTTATATTATATTATTATATATTAAATAGTAATTTCGTTAATAGAATTATACACGAGGAAGCTTAAGAATGGATTATTGATAAGATAGTATCGCTACAAGTCACTTTTATCAGATGAATGGAATACCTAATAGAAACATAGGTTATTATTTATCAGTTTTGTACAATCTGTTTCTACTTTGGCTTTATGTGTATGGTTCCGGCAGAGTAGAGTGGGACAATTCTAATTCCTTCCAAAGATTTCCTGAGGGCTTAGTGTGAGTTTACATCACTAGTGAGCGCGTAAAAAATGTCATTAAATGTATGACGGATTGTACAGCGCCCCTAGCGGAAACTTCCAAGAACTAAAATTTTCTTTTTTTTTTTACGCGCTCACTCACTAGTGAGAACGTTTGATGTAAACTCACACTAAACCCTCTGTGGTGTTTTACGACAAAAGGTGATTAAGGGACAAAATTATCTGAACATCAGCCGGGCTAGGATGCGCGCCGTGATTAAATCTTATCGATTTTAGACGACGAACGTTTGGGCTTATCACGAAATTCGATAAAATTGCCCGATAAAAGCTTATCGCGATCCTAGGCCTATAGGCCTCCCCAATCCATCTGGCCAGCGTAGGTAGGCTCAATTCTCGTACAATGGACACTAAATGACCTGATGGATAGGCTCGTATAATGTGATATTTTCAAAGTAACTAATATTAAACGTATCACCTCTGCTGTAACTAGAGTAATAATATTTTTCTGTCTAGAATCGGTTCAACCTGTTTGAAGATCTGTTACCTACATACTTTTTGCGTTAAGTTTTTGCTAACATTCTCAATTTGCTAAAGATATTATTCATAGCTCTTTAGCTTTGTTTGAAATGCTAAATCATCGGTTGTAATGTTTTTTTGAGTTTGTGTTTAAGTATTTTATATTAAGTCCCAATCAAGAAGTTAATAATTATTAAGGCTGGGTTGCACTATCTCACTTTAACTTAAGCAAACGTCAGAAGTCTGACAAACACCTTATAAAAACATCGGTTTCGTTATAGTTACGGTTAAAGTAAGATGGTGTAACTCAGCCTTAGAATCGTGCATTTCTTAGTTGTATACCTATTATAGAAGCAAGACGTTTAAAGACGGCACATTAATATGTCACTTTGTCAATTTATCAAGTTGGTATCCCTGATTTCGGCCCAACACTTCATAATCAGTGATTGAAACGTCACACATGCGATAGCGGGTTCAAAAAACTTTGCACAACAACACGCAGACAGGTCCTTGGACCAGTCACTCTTTGTCGCAAAAACGCATGACTCACGCAAGCGAACGCGGAAACGTGAATGAAGACGTTTCGAAAAAAGTTGACGCGTAAAAAGTTGTCGTAAAACCGCTGAAACGCGGCGTCCATCGAGGGGTTAAGAAGAAAAGAATAATACCGTGCGAGCGAGACGCAGCGATGGAATGGGTGCAGCGAAAGTGACAGTTCTTTTGGCGGGAACACAGGCTCCGTTCTATCTCGTCGGTGTACCGGTTGTACGCACCACGCATGACACTCGTCGCGACAATTTATTTCGGTGCGGGGCAATGCACTGCCCGCAGCCCTGGGTAGGGTCGCCACTCTGGGGTTAAGAAACCAGTTTTAAGCTTCAGCCACCTTGTCCAAAACTAGGCCAGTGCAAAGTTTTGCATCCCTATCAAGCCTTACAAACTTTCATAACGATTATCTTCTCTAAATATATAAAAGGAGAAACTGACTGACTTAGTGACATATCAACGCACAGCCTAAACGGCTAGACAATGCCCATTTTACTATGGGAGTCTGTACCATGTTGCATCAACCTGAATTTACTCTCAAAAGTCTAGTTTTTATTTACCTTTTCGCTACCAACATGTTTTTTTCAATGTTTAGCCGGATTTTCAAAATATTTGAAAAAGTTAAAAAACGCCTGAATATTTTTTTTTAGCAATGTTTAATCGTCGTGTCATTGCTATTAATCTATTTATTACAGATATTTATGCGTTTTGGGTCGCATTGCTGTAAGTAAAATGCTTTGCATGTTATAGATATACTTAGTACACTTGCGCAATAAGATGAGATCCGTCCTCCTTCGTCTGCTCCCCCGCACGTGCCGTTTTCGACCTATAGTATCTATTGATATTACGCCCTCTTTGTACTAATGTTATTTAACGCTTTATCCATGCCTATCCAGAACACGAACTTAACTGTTAAAAGACAATGATAAATAAATATTAAATTATGAATACCTAAACTTACTGCGTGTTACTTTATATTAAACTAATTGTGCCCGCGGATTTCGTACGCGTGAAAACAGTTCAGATAACATTTCCCATTTTTGCAACATTTTAAACGTAGTATAATTATCTAATGCATTGCCTCATTATCACAAAAATATTAAGTTTTAAGAAGCCAGTTATGGGCAGTGTAGTTCAATTACTATTAGTAGATCATTTAAACATTTATCAAGGTAACACAAATAAAATAACTATGTATAATCATTGATCAGATAACATTTATTTTTTAAAGTATGTTATGTGATGATTGTAATCTTTTTAACTTGTATATAGAGAGCCAGTACAGTTTATGTGCAAATAGTGATTGGCTGTGCTCGCTACTCGGATATAGAAGAGGTAATTCTTGACGGTGACTTGTCTGTTCTTTGAAGTTCTTCTTCTCTTATTGGCCTTTGAGGATCATGCTGCTGCTGTCTGTCGACTGTTCTAGTAGCTGTTCTCCAGCACACCTCTCAAGTCTGGATACCTAAAATAATTTTTAAATTGCATGAATTTCTAGATACTTAACTTACTCAATAGAAAAAATAATTATGGATTAAGTCTCCAATACATGTTATTTTAATTTCTCATAAATATTGTACTTACAAGATGAGCGCTGTCTATGCAAAGACATTTCACTGTGGAGATTCAGGTCTTATTTAATAATTATGTTTTTCTTTTAGTGCATAATAATGCACACCACCACAGCCAAAACAAACGCTCTGATGGCCAACTTCAGGGCTGCCAATTGTTGCTTCTTGCAACAGTAAGTTTGTAGCAATTGTGGCATATTATATGTTCCGGTTACCTGAAACAAGCAATATTTGTTAATCTGTATTAAATTGTACAACAAAAATGGAAATTGAAACCAGGACATCATCTACAGCAATGGAATTTTTTGCGGAATGGCGGAATTGGCAACAATTAAGGCCATCAAAAATATTGTAAGACAGAATTTATATACCTATAAGTGGTATCATTAATAAAAACTACAAAATATACATACCTACATCAAGATCATGAATAAGTTTATGAATGAGTAATAAAAAAACTAACCAAAGTAGGTAGGTATCACCCATGAGTTCAAAACTTCTAATATATTGTTGTGCACACTTTCCACTGTGTGTATCAATGTGTTCCTTGGTACTGCCAATGGACAGTTGATACATCGTCGGTGATTACTCTCTGGACTCAAACTGCCTGTTCGATTCATTTTTATTGAGGCAGGCAGGTAGCATAAACGCCGGCCGGCATCTACCAACAGAGTTACTATCTCGCACGGTAAAACCACTATCCCGATGCACCACAACACAAGAGTCACTATCTCAAGACTGTCAATAGTCAATAATATCGTTCGAGGAATGAATTTATTGAATACTACCACTAAAACATAGATCGATCGATACAGACATCAACGAAAGACGAAACCTGTGGACGAAACTCAACAAATCGCCCTAACCTCAAATTGACAATGACACTTGATAGTTTTTTATTTCGGTGTTCCGAAACGCTCTAATGTAATTAATGGTGAGATAAAATAAAACAGTTTTTTTTTAAATCGTTTGAAGTAGGTAGTTTCATTATTATGAAAATCATGATTATTAATAATAATATTGATAATAAAATCATGTTTGCTTGCTAAAACTTACTTGGCAAACAAGATTTTTATTCTTATTGCTTACTCACGAAAATAGGTGACAGCTGAAATCGGAACAAAAAAGTTTTCGGAAATGATTTTTTGTACGGAAGTAATTGTTAATCATGTTTCGTATAATTAATTCTAATTTTCTAAATCCGGATAAGAAAAACGGTTAAAAATTAATGGAGTACACATATAATTAAAATATTATTTTTGATGATAATTAGCCTGTGATGCAATTTGGTACAGGTAATGGGCATTGTCCTTTGGAAGGGACGTAGCTTAGGTACCGTAGAGGTGCAATAAGAAAGGAATTCCCGAAATTCCCAAGGGAACGGGAATTAGTGGGAAAATCTTTTTGTATGAAAAATCTAAACCGCTTAAGTTAGACGCTTGAAATTTGGCATGCAGGTACCTTAGTAAACTTAAAGCTTAGTTACAACAGGATATTGCAAAATTCCCACGGGAACGGGTTTCATACCGCTAGTATGAAAAAATCTAAACCGCGTAAGATAGATGAAGGGGGTAAAACGGGATCCACGCACGCGTACGAAGTCGCGGGCGGCCGCTAGTAAGAACATGAAATCACTTTGTGTTATTGACTATGGCATCTTATGAAGGCTGAGAGCTCTATTGATACTTATCACTTAAGCCCACACAGAAAGAAGAAATCTAGCTCGTAGCTCATTAGCAAGCTTACATACTTATGGTAGGTATACATATGCATAATAGTAAAATAAATTATCACACCCACCCACACAAATTAAAACTGAAGTTAGACAATTCCATGGTATACCAATTCAAAACTTACCAAAGCTTTAAAATATCTAGCAGCTGTCAACCCTAGCGTAGATATACGAATAAATGAGAGTAAACATGGGGAAAAATAAATCGGGTGCACACAGCGACAAATCAAGGCTGTTAAAATTAGCCGATGCGCCTAAAGGAGTGTGCACACGCGATTCTTCCGCCATTAAGCAGTGAGTACCTACACTAGAGGTGAGGACCGATCGATTGCGATTAGCTTTAATTGGACGTGCTGTGTTTCTAAGAACTGTAATTAAACGGGAACATTAAATAGCTACTGGATTTGAATAAGATACAGCTCTAGTTAATTGAAATAGATTGGTTAAATTTCACTAACCAATAGTCGTAAGAGAAAAACTAATGTGACAAAACTGGGGTCAGACTTTAAGGGCCTAACTCAAAATTGAAGGGGTGAGTGGGCCAAGGTCTTAACTAACAAAATGAGTTATGAGTGTTTGAAAACGTTAATCTGCTCATACCACATTTGAATCCTGAAATGTATGAATGCTTGTCAGATAACACCTTTGTTAAGGTTTGACACGTAACAAAATTGCGTGTTTTGAGCTCATTGGTCGATTTTATCGTCACTTAAAACCTATGTTCATGCAAAAAAGTCGATTCTTCAGTTTTGTCAGATAACACCTTTGTCCACTCACCCCTTCAATTATTATTTCTATATTGTACTAGCTGACCCGGCGAACTTTGTTCCGCCTTAATGGCAATAAATAAGCAGACTTTTTTTTTATTTCGAACGGGATAAAAAGTATCCTATGTCCTTCTCCTGGCTCTAAACTACCTCCCTGACAATTTTCAGCTAAATCGGTTCAGCCGTTCTTGAGATATAAGTGGAGTAACTAACACGACTTTCTTTTATATATATAGATGAATTAATAAAGAATTTTCCTTCAAGACTCAAAGATTACTTTCTCTCCTATCATAAATTTACATACAACCATGGAATAATATCTTATTAATACCGACAACGGCATATTAAACATTGTAGCATCTTTTGTTATTCTGATAAGTGTGATTTTGCGACATAAAGTATACTGGCGACTGTACGTATGTCAATTCACATCAATTACTACGATTTCAGTCATAAAAACGTTCAAAACACAACATTAGATTGCAATCACAGTAACTTTGAAGTAGTGCAACATTGTGGAGTTCGTTGACCCATTATACAGTGTGAGTCACGTTAAAGTGTACATATGAAAATAGATGAAACTAGACCTATTTTTATCGACAAAAAAGAGGTCAAAAAATTTTTGAGATTTTTTTTTAATTTTTTATAGAATTTTTTTTCTCCAAATTACTTATTGTAAAGAAAACGTAATAACTTTTAAAATAAGCGGTANTTTTCTTTCTTCTTTCTTTCTTTCTTTCCTTGTTAGGGTTACACTGGTTAAGGCGACCCTTTACAAGGCTTGGAAGCATGTGGGTAACAAGCCATTGGACGTGGAAAGGTTCATTAATTATACGTATATTTTCTACTTTGCCGAACTTTAGCGCGAGAACGGTTTGTCCAAAACATATGAATTTGGTCTTATTCAATGCAGGATTAAGTGCCCTTTAACCGTCATGAAGACCACTTTTCGATAGGGTAAGTCCTTTACGCGGTATAACCGGAAAACCGAAAAAACGCCCCCACCACTTAAGCACAACTCCGTCGAAGTCGAAAACTTAGGAGAGTCTTAATGGGCAACCAATGAAGCCATTAAAGCAAAAAAATCTTTTGTAGGAATTATTTCCGATTTAATCAATTTTTGTGTTTAATTCTACTGGCCTATAAGTTAACACATCCGAAACGAGTTTAATATTAATTCATGGTTTTCCTTTATTTATTTATTTAATTAGGACAACCAACAAGACAGACACAAATTCAAGCAAAGGGGTTTACATACATAATTTATGGCACTTTTATTTGATTTATGATTATTATGCACTGGTCCATTTATTGTAGTGGTAGGGTTAACCCTAGAGTGCTCGCGCTATGAGCATTTTGCCGCCCTCGGCAAAAAAATCGAGTTATTTTCTACACGATGCGTTTGTTAGTTTTGTTCCTCTTCCCCCCTGGACGTGATCAAGTATAGACGTGCATTTTACTGCGGATTTTTAAATGTATTTTATTAATATTTAATTCAAATTTAATAACGTGAGATACCAGGATCGCATAAGGTACTGACAGTAACGTGCCATCGCGCGACTACAACTAAGTGCTACGAGTGCCTGACCCGCCCACTTACTACGGCGCTACGAATTCTACCAGACGCAGTTTATCTCCACCCACTTGCTACGACTCGGTGATACGAGCTTCGTGCTACGACATTACATACGCAAGTTTCTGCTCGCCTGGTACATCGTTTGGCCGCTCACTATGCCGCTCAAGAGAACTCCTCCATGCGCCTCGCTTCAAGGCGGCGACTCGGATGTGAATCCTAGCTCGGCGCTTACTGACACAGAAAATGAAGAAACTTCTAAAGTTTCTACCAGACACCGTGCACGCAAACGTCATCATGATGATGAAGTAACTGTCGTTATAACTGAACTTAAGAACACCATGGAGGCCTTCAGGAACCAGCAGGTCTCCTTACAATCAAGCATTAATGACATACAGAAACAAAACAATGACATAATTAAGGCGGTTGAATTCATGTCCTCGCAGTATGACGAATTGAAGGATAAACTAGTGAAGATGGAAACAGAAAGGAAGACCCATCTGGCTTACATACAAACACTAGAACTCAAGGTAGAAAATCTTGAGAGGATTCATAAGCAGGCCAGTTTAGAAATTAGAAACATTCCTATCCAGAAAACTGAATCTAAAGAGGAACTCATAAACTTGGTACAAAAAGTCGGTAAAGCTGTTGATGTCGATGTTGACAGCAAGGAAATTCGAGATGTTTTTAGATTGACCACTAAAAAAGGTGTGGNATTTAGCATTATTACTGTTTTTATTTTATCAGGATATACCGCTTAGTTTAAAAGTTATTACGTTTTCTTTACAATAAGTAATTTGAAGAAAAAAAATTCTATAAAAAATTAAAAAAAAATCTCAAAAAATTTTTGACCTCTTTTTTGTCGATAAAAATAGGTCTAGTTTCATCTATTTTCATATGTACACTTTAACGTGACTCACACTGTATTTCGCTATTTAGTTTTAGAGGTTATATTTAGCGCCTCTCGCAGACACAATGGTGTTTTTAACTCACTGCAGTTTTTCAGTTACTGGCTGGTTTTGGTTTTTTAAATTTAGAACGCTTTCAAATTATTCTTCTTTTTTCGTAGCTTATTTTTAAATGGACCTCAATATTATCCTCATTTCACCCAGTTGTAGTTCATTGCTAAATATAGGTATCTAAAAAAGCATCCATTTGAGGAATTTAACTTAAATAATAAGTAAATAAAGAAACTTTCAATTAAGTTTCAAGAACAAAAATAAACCTACATTTTTCGAAATAGAATCAGTAGATTTTTTCAAACTGGGAGCAAATAAAAAATAAATAAATTCAAACGATTCTAGACCACAGACCAATCTTAAAAAGAAATAGGTCAAATAAGTATCAATGAAAGGTACTCTACGAGACCTTTGTCCATTGTGCACGATATATTATTGCCTCATTAAGCATCATATTAAGAACTGAATTTCATGTATCATTAAATAAAGAAGGGAAGCGATAAGCCCGTGTCTTGACCGAGAGCCTTTCACTGCTCCAAACTCGATCCGGGCCAGATGTGCACTCACTCTTGCTTTTGTTTATTTTGTTGTTTTACCTTTAAGGGCGATAATGACTACAAAAAGGTTGGACAAGTTATATCACGTCAAAACTGAATACATTTTTGATGATTTTTATCAAGAAATTCGTGAACTCTACAAATATGAATACTGTGGTTTGGATTCCGCTGAAAACAAGTGGTAGTGTGATGAACACGAGAATATTTATTTTTATCTTATAAAATGTAAAGTTAGAGTCTTCTAACCTATTGCATAATCTTCCTGAAACTCACATAAAAATTTAAGGTTTCTGTAACAAAGAGTTCGTGGTTCTACGACGAGCTAACTTATTTGAGGCTTTGTTTACAACCGATTCAAAATAATGAACAGTGGACATTGATATACAGTTTATAAAATCATGAACAGGCCGGATATCCTATATTTCACCTGCCAATAATCTCATTCAGTGCACTTTAAAGAAAAAAGTTATTTATTCCCTTCAAGCGCTATAAATCCCGACCCGACGCGCGCATGTCACAAAACAAACGCAGAATTTTCATGCTCTTTTAAAATTTCCGAATAAATATAATAAATCTTTTAAATGGTTTTGGCCGTAATTAATGGTATGTTCGCACACTTGCCGACTAAAGAATGGCAGCGCAATAAAAGTTTAATACAGGCGATGTAACACGCGCTACTTTGTTATCCCGACGTTAATGTACTGCACTTTGTTCAAATGCATCACAGCGAGCTTCGTTATCCCAATTGATATTAACCTTGGTGACAATTCGCGTTTCGCACTCGCGTGCAATAAATTAGGCTGCGTTAGAAACAATGACTCATTCCGGTATTCCTTTGCCGGCTGACGATTAAAATGTAGAGCCGATTCTATTTTACTACTCTGTTAGTAGTAAACTTTATTTATAATAGCTTTATTACACCGAGCATCATTAGCAAGAATATAAAACTTGTTATACAAACATTTTTATGTTAAAGACTATAAACGGCCATAAAATATTCGCTAGTGGCGACCCCGCCTAAATCCGTCGCTGGCTGTACGCAGGCATGCCTTCGCCTGGTCATCTGTCAAGTGCACGATGCGCGCCAAAAGTGACATTTCACAAATCTTCAAAATGGCGTTGTGCAGTAATTAAAGGCGTGCAATAACTGGCCATAAAGCAAACGGAGCGCATTGGTGACGCGCCGGCGGCTATTTCGGTCCACGCCGCCCCTCGACAAATGCTAATGTCCTCTAGGACACCCAGTGGGACTCTTGCTGTCATGGTTCCATTTCAATTTGCTTTGGATCTCTTTAAATTTACGTACTGTTTTTACCGGTTGATTTAAACCATCTTTACGCGCCAAAAAGTTGTCTCGTCGATTAAATTTATGTCCAGACGCATAGATGTTTTCTTTTTTTGACACCTGTTTTGTCTCGCGTTCAGTTAAATGCGTCGGACGTGTTTTCCATTTCATTCATGCGGACACTTGAAAGAGTAAGATTTTGGGCTAAGTGCAGATTTTCGCAGATTTTGGTATGTAGAAGTGTTAGGTATTCGGCATTATATTTACTTTAATCAGAGGTTTTAAACACTATTTATGCCTTAGGTAAGGTATTATGTGATACATGCTGTTTGTTTTTGTAGGTATTTTCGCATCGATATTATTTGGCCCAGTCACGCGTGTTCGCTTAGATGACCTTCCATCGGTTTGGGGTTTTCCCGGTAATACGCTGTGATTGGTGAGAGAGAGGTTCTTTCTGTAATATTATACCTGCTCATAATCATAGCATCGACTTAGGCCGAGTTGCACCGCTTTATTTTAACCGTGACTAACCATAGCCGGTGTTTTTGTATGCCGTTTGACAGACTTTTGACGTTTGTTAAAGTTAAAGTAAGATAGTGCAACCCAGTCTTATTGACAAAAAAAGTACCGACTGTTTTTGTTTTGATATTAATTGCACCTGTGTATTTTGCAACTTCATCACTAATTCATTTACATTTAGATTAGCTTCAACGGCTTTAGATCACAGCAAAAACATCAATAGTAGGTAGATTTCTGTCTAAAAAGGACTAATGCCATTATTTTTAGCATTTAGGCAGACAGGTATTGATTTAGACAAATGATAATAACAGGTTGAGGAGAAATCATGTAGGTCGAAAAAACTGGATGACCTCACTATGACATTACTGGTTAGTGTTATCTGAATCAAAAAAAGCTATGATCGGAGCTATACATATAGAGTATTGATGGTATACCTAGGCATACATACTTACATACAGTGTCCCAGAATGGGTGAATCAAACTGATAGGGGAGGTAGCTCTACTAATGTACTATCCCTAAAATATGAAAAAAAACGAAGGATAAACTAGTGAAGATGGAAACAGAAAGGAAGACCCATCTGGCTTACATACAAACACTAGAACTCAAGGTAGAAAATCTTGAGAGGATTCATAAGCAGGCCAGTTTAGAAATTAGAAACATTCCTATCCAGAAAACTGAATCTAAAGAGGAACTCATAAACTTGGTACAAAAAGTCGGTAAAGCTGTTGATGTCGATGTTGACAGCAAGGAAATTTGAGATGTTTTTAGATTGACCACTAAAAAAGGTGTGGCTAGTCCAGTTATTGTTGATTTTACTTCTGTTGTACTGAAGGACAAAATCTTGACCTCAGTTAAATCGCATAACAGGGCTAAGAGAGATAATAAACTGAACACTGGACATATTGGTATCGCTGGACAGTCTAAACCAATCTTCGTTGTTGAATGTCTAACACAAGCAGCCAAAAAAGTGTATTTCCTTGCTCGAGAGTTCAGTAAGAAAAATGATTACGCTTTTTGCTGGACGGCTCATGGAAAGATATTTGTTCGTAAACGTGAAGGTGCTCCACCACGCCGCATTGACTCTCAGGCAGATTTAGATCTACTGCTCTCTACTCCAGATAAGTGACTAGATAAGTTAGCACAGTTTTCTTTTTTCTATTTTTTCATATGTATAATTTATAAATCATTATTTTTTTACAATTTTGCTAATTATATTACATTTGAAATGAATAACCACATATTACCACTTACTACACAATGTTACATTGCCGCCACACCAAACTATCACTCCAATACACTTGCATATGCACACTTACACTTCAACACAACTAACACTGGTTTCCACAGCTATACTTTTCAACTAGTTTCATCTGTTTCAAGCATTGCAATAATATTCAAAATTAACCCTCTGTTAAATCAAATCTGTGCCACAGAGTTTATCTGTGAAAGTGCTGCTCTTTGAGGACATATCTAATAATATCGACTCGGTTGAGGTAGCTGAGTCACTCACTTGCTGTCCTGAAAGTGTTAAAACTTATATTAATCCTCTATGTAAGTCACTTAAAATCATACATACCAATATACGTAGCATAAACTGCAATATGGATGTCCTTGAGGTTCTTTTAAGAAGAATCTGTATCCAATGTGACATCATTATTCTTACAGAGTGCTGGCTAAGTAAAGTTAGTATGATTCCTCATTTGGATGGTTACACTTCTTATTCGTCTGATTATAAGAACCAAAACGATGGCGTAGTTATCTATGTTCGCTCCGACATTAAACATAACATCTCTTCACCATCTTTGTTGGACGCAACCTGTCTAAGANGTACTCCAGTATACTGCGGACTAGACTGTTAAAGATAACAACTGTGATCTGAGGTTCTTTCAAAATATTCATCTGTCGTGCGATGAAGCCACTGAGCTTAGAGGTCTTTTTAATAATAGAATCTATGTGCTGATTAAAAGTTAATTTGCTATCGATTATCACTCCTAAATCTCTTATACTGGAAAGTTCGATCAAAGGGACCTCGTTAATAAAGTAGGTTGAGGTGATTGGAAGTAATTTTCGTGTAAATCGAATCACAAAACATTTACCCGTATTCAGAACCATGCCATTAAGTTTACACCAGTCCTGAACCTTACCAATATCCACCTGCAAAGTATGAACATCATCAGTATTATTAATTTCGCGATAAATTTTTAAGTCATCAGCATACATTTTGAACTGCGAGTTGATACAAGAAGATAGGTCGTTGATGAATAAGACAAAGAACAAAGGTCCTAAGTGGGAGCCCTGAGGTACCCCTGAAGGCACCAGTTGTGCTACTGAAGTATGTCCATACAAGTTGACAATCTGAGAGCGATTTTTGAGATAAGACTCACACCATCTGAGCAGCGATCCGTGAATACCAACGCCTTCCAGTTTCAGCAGCAGCATATCATGGTCAACTAGATCGAAGGCTTTTCGGAAATCAGCGTAAAAAGCATGAACTTCTCCCTGCTTGTCCAAAGTGTCACATATATCGCTAACATAACTTACCAAGTTCGAGACTGTTGATTTTTTGGGCAGAAAGCCATGCTGATTTGGGTGTATTAATCGTTTTACATGGTTGTAAATTCTTTTTTGAACAATAGATTCAAAGATTTTACCAGCAACAGAAAGAATAGAAATAGGTCTATAGTTACTGACGTCATTTTGGTCACCTGATTTATGAATTGGGGTAAGATGTGCAATTTTCCACAAATCAGGAAAAACTCCTGTTTGCAATGATGCGTTGTATATGTGAGACAGCGGTATGTATAAGGTTTTAGCGCAAATCCTGAGGAAAAGGGGTGGTAACAAGTCAGGCCCAGCCCCCTTGCTACAGTCCAACGTTGAGAGATGTTCTAAAATTTCATCTTCGGATATTGAGAAACTGCTGAGAGGAAGTGCATTATCATCAATCTGAAATGTATTTCGACAAACTAATAGATTTGGAGTATTATATTTATTATAAACTGTTTGAAAATATTTTGAAAACAGGTCACAAACTTTTTGTCCTCCACTCACAGATTCCGACTTAAAGACCATATCATTAGGAATAGTAATACGACCTGCCTTACTACCATTAACAAATTGCCAAAAATATTTAGGCCTGTCACGTAAATTATCTCTCGCCTGCATTTTGAAGGTGGCATAATTTTCCTTAATTAAAGTGTCACAACGTTCCCTCAAAATGTCAAATGTGAGTTTATCCATAGGATTGTGGTACTTTTTATATCTTGAGTGGTACTTGGCTTTTTCTTTTAGAGCCTGTATAAGAGGCTTGCTGAANTTTTACAATTTTGCTAATTATATTACATTTGAAATGAATAACCACATATTACCACTTACTACACAATGTTACATTGCCGCCACACCAAACTATCACTCCAATACACTTGCATATGCACACTTACACTTCAACACAACTAACACTGGTTTCCACAGCTATACTTTTCAACTAGTTTCATCTGTTTCAAGCATTGCAATAATATTCAAAATTAACCCTCTGTTAAATCAAATCTGTGCCACAGAGTTTATCTGTGAAAGTGCTGCTCTTTGAGGACATATCTAATAATATCGACTCGGTTGAGGTAGCTGAGTCACTCACTTGCTGTCCTGAAAGTGTTAAAACTTATATTAATCCTCTATGTAAGTCACTTAAAATCATACATACCAATATACGTAGCATAAACTGCAATATGGATGTCCTTGAGGTTCTTTTAAGAAGAATCTGTATCCAATGTGACATCATTATTCTTACAGAGTGCTGGCTAAGTAAAGTTAGTATGATTCCTCATTTGGATGGTTACACTTCTTATTCGTCTGATTATAAGAACCAAAACGATGGCGTAGTTATCTATGTTCGCTCCGACATTAAACATAACATCTCTTCACCATCTTTGTTGGACGCAACCTGTCTAAGACTAAACTTTAATCACGAGTATGCTATTCTTGCTATATATCGCTCACCTTCATTTAAGAATATCGATAATTTCTGCAATAGCCTTGATAACTGTTTGACTCATATGAAATCTACCAAATCAGTGGCAGTAATCGGTGATATTAACATAAATATCTCTTCAACCAGCAATGACTCCAATGGCTCCAAATATCTTGACGTCATGTCCCATCACGGACTTCTAGCAGCTCATTTCTTTCCGACTCATTTTGGTAATTGTATTGACCACATTATGCTTAAGACGGACAAACCTGCAAAAACTTTTGTCCTTGACTCCTTGGTAACAGATCATGCTCCATTATTGTTATGCCTAGATTGTAAAACTGAAAGAAACGTGACTAATAAAAGCATCGTAAAAATTAATTACACAGCTCTATCTCAAAACCTTGCCAATGCTGACTATACAAACGTATTCAACGCTACTGATGCTAATCTTGCAGCCGTTGCTCTTACTGACTTGATTTCAGAAGCTATTAAGTTAAACTCCAAAACAATAAATATTCCTCACCGTCTTCGTTTTATTAAGCCGTGGCTTACTCCAGGACTCGTGCGCTGCATCAGACATCGTGATGAATTGCACAGGAAAGCAAAGAAGGATCCCAGTAATAGTATAGCTCAATTAATTTACACAAGGTATCGCAACTATTGCAATAATCTTCTAAAAAAGTTAAAAATCGAACATCAAAAATCTGAACTATTAAAAAACAAAGGTAACCCGAAAGGACTATGGAATACAATTAATAAAATAGCTAATATTAAAAAACCCTCTTTGCCCCCTTGTGAATTACTTAATCTTGCTAAAGACCCACTTGACTCAGTAAACAAAGTCAATGACTATTTCGCGGCAGTCGGTGCCAATTTAGCCAACAAAATTTTAACAAATCACCACACTAACAGAGTTGATCAGGATGAACATGATGGAAAATCAGTATCACCGCTTGATTCAATGGTTCTGTTTGATACTGATTGTGAGGAGATTGAAAGGATAATAATTAGTTTGAAAAATAACTCAGCTGTTGGCTCCGATGGAATTCCAACTATGGTCATCAAAAGCGCTAAAAATGCTCTCATACCTCCCCTTACGTTTTTCTTTAATTTGTGTCTAAACACCGGTGTCTTCCCGGATATTCTGAAAAGAGCTTTAGTACATCCTATTTACAAAAGTGGTGGCAGGGACAGTGTCGAGAACTATAGGCCGATATCGGTACTGTCGGTAGTCTCAAAAATCCTAGAAAAAGTGTTGAATAAGAGACTAACGTTATTCTTGGAGCACAATAATATCATTGCATCTAACCAATACGGTTTTAGGAAAAATAAATCTACAGAAGACGCTACCCTATTACTCACTGAAACAGTTACTAAACATCTTGATAACAACTCAAAGGTTATTGGCGTATTTCTCGATTTGTCTAAGGCCTTCGACACTGTCCCTATTCCTCTACTGATTAATAAAATGGAATCGATTGGAGTACGGGGAGTAGCACTTGATATTTTTCGTAGTTATCTCGGTGACAGAACGCAGTATGTTAAAATAAACGACTTCACAAGTAATGAAGCTCATCTCTCGTTCGGTGTGCCGCAGGGTAGTGTCTTGGGACCTACCCTATTTCTGGTATATATTAATAGCCTGTGTCAAAAATCTCTCCTAAACTGCAAAATCATCACGTACGCTGATGATACGGCGTTAATTGTACACGGAAAGAGCTGGGATGAGACTCGTTCTCATACTGAAGTGGCGCTTCGTAATGTAATGCAATGGCTTAACCTTAACTTATTAACTTTAAATATAAATAAAACTAAATACATCACCTTCTCACTAACCGCCTGTACGCAACCACCTGCAAATTATAGTGTGCGTGCGCATCAGTGTGATCGCCTTATTGATTGTGCCTGCCCTGTACTCCCAAGAACTACTACAATAAAGTATCTGGGACTTACTGTTGATTGTTTGCTAAAATGGAGTTACCACATAGACAATTTGATCAGTCGCATTAGAAAATTAATTCCGATATTTAGATGTCTCAGAGGTTCGGCTGACCGTGATACCCTAATGTGCGTTTATTATTCTCTTGCTCAGAGCTTACTCCAGTATTGTATCGTCGTTTGGGGTGGTGTAGGAATTACTGCTATGCTTCCCTTGGAACGTGCTCAAAGGGCAATTTTAAAAGTCATGTTGGGTAAGCCCCGTCGATATAATACTTCTCTTCTATATCAAGAATCCAAAGTAATTACGGTAAGACAACTTTTTATCTTGTATGCAATTCTCCGGAAACACAAAGACATAGATCCCTCGAAAATTCCAACTCGTAAAAACAAGCGCATTTGCCCCATTGAACCCCATAGAACGTCCCTTGCAAAATCTCAATACTATGTTTGTAGCTGCCTCTTATACAACAAAGCCAATAAAATCAATGACATCGTTGCATTGCCCTCGTACAAATGCAAACAGGTCGTTCGAAAGTGGTTGATGAGTCTCAGTTATAGAGAAACAGAGGAAACCCTCATAAACCCATAATTTATGGTCTTTAAGACTATAATCTGCACTTATTAATTTTCGAATACACACACACACACACACACACACACACACACACACACACACACACACACACACACATGATAATATAGTGGTAATTTCTCTTATCTAATCAAAATTTTCAATAATTAGACTATTAATAATGTTACTTAACTAGTATTATATAAACTCCATTTAACCTAATTAGTATAACACAGGGTGGAAAGCGCTGGCAGCTGTGACACAGTTTATACTAGTACAGCTGTCAACGTGTACCTCTTGTTAAGTTATGTGGGTACGTAAGTACTTA